TTTATACAGAAATACAATATAGAAGATGACTTGTTTAGAAATTTTGAGGAGGACACTATGGTTACTCGTGATGTCCAAGGTGGGGGAATTGATAGAGAAAACATACAAGACATAGAATAAGGTCCAAAAGTCATTGAATATATGCGTGTTTTGCATGATCAAATTGCAAATCAACTACTTTCACATACTTTACGTTAAATTATTATGTTATTTTAAATTTCATTATGTTTTTATTTGGATATTAAATGATTTATGTTTAATTTACATTTTGTATGACATTTTTTATTTGTGTGTAATTTACATTTTGTATGACAATATGTATGTTTTTATAATTATTCAGCAACTTAATCGATCCCTATATATAACAGAAGGGTAAAATAGTCATTTTTCATCACTCAGCACATTCAACCAGATGTACAATCAAACAACAACATTTCTTATTCAATCAGGATTTCTTACCTAGACAGATATTTCCCAATCAACATTTTCTCAATCAGTAACTATCAAATGGGATCTAAGTTGAAGTTTTCAGAAGAGTCATTCATATCACATAAAATGCATCCTTAAAAGAATAAAAGTAGGAATTTATCAAAATACTTTACTTATTTTGAACATCCTTTTTATATAAAAAAACTACTTGTTAGAAAAAATAATGTTTAGAATAACATTATGTGAGAAGTTAGATTCTTGAAAATCTTTACTATTTCAAATGATTCCATTTTTGAAAATGATATATGCGTTTGAAACATCTAAAAAATATTTTTGAGGATGTATTTCATAAAAGAATGGATTTTGAAAATCACAACCTTTTTGGAAAAAAAAACTATATTTCATAACATTGTTCAAAAATTTATATCGCTTTCAAAATATCAAACCAACTTAGGGTTATGGTTTCCACTGTTAAGAGACTGAAGCTCATCGTAGCTAAAGTTAGAATATTTGTAGTGATAGAGTATGCTGGGAATATTATCTACGCCGAAGTAGTTAGCAGAAATTTATTAAGTTCCTCCGGTCATATTTGTTTATCACATGGACTGAGTAACTTATGGTGTATGTTAGTCGAAGCTAGTTTGTTGTGCGTAACTATAAATGTTCAGGTGATAATTTATAAGATTTGTTTACTTTTATATTTCTATCTCTTCTAACAAATGAAAGCTAAAAACGATAACTATCAGATTTTTAGAATTTCTTTTTAACACGTGATATTTTTCTATTATTTTTATTATTATTCTTTTGTAACAAATAAAATTCAATTCAAATTTTGAAAATACAAAAGCATATCCTAATAACATTATGTTTATTTTGCTTTAACAAATTAATTCATAGTTAGTTACAATTGATAATATCTTTGTTTTTTTTTTTTTTTTTGACATTTATTCTTTATATATATATATATATATATATATATATATATATATATATATATATATATATATAGGGTTAGGTTCATTTGAAACCATCTATATTTTGTGAGACCGTAAGATGCATTTTTTTATTTTTTTTATTTTTTTAGTTAAATCGTGTTCCGAAAATAATATTTAAAAAAAGAATTTTTTGATTTTTTCCATTTATTTTGCATTTTAAAATTATTTTTAGAATATGTACAGTGTAATATTCTATTTATAATATTTCACGTATTTTTCAAAAAAAATAGAATTTTTTTTTAATTTTTTATTTTTTTTTAGTTAATTCAAGTTCCGAAAATAATATTTAAAAAAAGAATTTTTAGATTTTTCCATTTATTCTGCATTTTAAAGTTATTTTTTAGAATATGTCAGTGTAATATTTTATTTAGAATATTTCACGTATTTTTCAAAAAAAAAAAACAGAATTTTTTTTTATCTACTTTTATTTTTTTTATATATTTTTTTAGTTAACTCAAGTTCCGAAAATAATATTTAAAAAAAGAATTTTTGGATTTTCCCATTTATTTTGCATTTTAAAATTATTTTTAGATTTGGACTCACGGTCTCACAAAATTAAAATGATCTCAAATGAACCTGAATATATATATATATATATATATATATATATATATATATATATATATATATAATATATATATATATATATATATATATATATATATATATAAATTAGGAAGGTTACCGGTTTTATAAGCTTAGAAAATCTTTATTATTGGAGCTATTAATTGTATTCCTTTTCTTACATCTATTCAAAGAAAGCAACCCCAATGTTCATACTTTTGCATTGATTCTATATCGATCTTGAATTCAACACTTATTAAACTTTATATCAAAAGTCATATTTAATTTCTAGAACCAAGTTTTTTCGAAAATCATAGTAACAAAAATTTATTCTTGAAAAAAATCGTTGCTATGCGATATATATTTTTTGATGAACAGGACTAAGCTTATTGTGTGATATTTGTTTTAATCAAATGGCCAATAGGGTGAATATTCCAAATTCGAATATTTATAAGAATATGGATACACACAACTAATACTTTTAGCAAGTAAAAGAAGCATCGCCCACTTATCAATTAAAGCAAAAAAGTACAAGGGAGGTGGAAGTTAATTGTCCTATTTTGGCAAAATGAATATTTCAGGGATAAAAATGGTGAAACGATTTCAACCTATATTTGGAAATGTAGAAACGTTCAATCTACTATTATGGTTACATGACACTAATAAGGCTTCACTTGTTCAAGTTCAAAAGAGAGTGAACTAAGTCATTGAATACTACCGACTTTGATACATGTTAAAATTAGTCGATGCATGAGTTAAACATAAGAGATCATCTGTTTGTCGATTCATATCACATCATAAAAATATTTGAGACAAAGTTGTATCATGTATGCAATTGATCATAGGGATGAATAACAAGAACTTCCTAAACTTTATTCCTAAGCCTATAACCACTATAATTTTCGTAAAAAAAAAAAAATCAAATAAAGATATTGTTACAACATTTCTGACTAAATACATGATTTTTGACATTTAATATATACAAAAGAAAATAACAGTGATTGTTAGTTATTTATTTTTCGCTCGAAGTGCCTCAAGCACTTTATTTCTTGCAGCCATAAACTCTGCAAACAAACCTTCTTCTTCTTCTTTTAAACCCTTTACTCCATTCCCAACCACATCCAATCTTCTCTTCAATTCAACCAAAGCATCGGAATCACCAACACCCCTTAATACAATCATACGCAAAGTCTCATTCACTTCTTCCAATTCCTTTACCAATCCCCTTTCCTCGGTAATCTTCTTCCTAAATATGGAATCGAAACCTGTCAACGTACAATCCACCACCATCCCAATTCCCATAATCTCCATAATCGGCCTAGCATCACTCTTTAATCCCGACAACACAACCCCACAAGTCCAAAATCCAGTACTCCTGAGAACCATCATACCTTCATGAAATATCCTTTCTTTCTCATTCCGATTGCTTTCTCCATTCCCTTCACTCCCTTTGATCCCCTTAACGGAATCATGCACTGTAATCTCTCTCAACCGTTCCACATCAAAACCCGGAGAGTTTTTCATGAGGCTCAAAGCATGAGAGAGCGACACCCGAGCTTGATTAAGATGAGAAAGAGAAGAACTGATTGCATTCAGCAGTTCCAACATGCAAATGGTGTAATCAAGATACTCTTCGATCGAACAAGCTTCCCAACTACTCACCGGATAATCTATCTCCCCCATTAGCTTAGCAAACTCATTGTTCAATATGGGTAATATCCGAAAACATTGGTGGATCCATTTGATGGACAAGACGTCTGATCCAAGAATGAAACTTTCCATTACCCGGTTTAGGTTTCCGGCCACTTGGAATTGAAAAGCTTGGAGGGAAGCAAAAGAAGGTTCCGACATATTGCGATGGTGATTATGGTGGGAAAATCCTAGTCTGTTTAATTGGAGAATCATTGTGATAGTTTTGTGTTATTGATATGGTCGATTAGTTGGTAGTTGAAGTTTATATAGAAGTTTGGGCTAGTGGTATTATGTTTGCGGGTTGACATACTATGAGTACAACCAGGACATTGGTAAGAAGATTGAGTTTGTGGTAATGGTCAAAGGTTCTTATCCGTTAGAAGCTTGTATTTTAATCCCGCACGTTTTAGCGACAACTAGGCCACTTGCAGTTCCATGAACCCGCAGTCATTTAGTTGGTTTTGCTTGATTGTTTGACACGCTGAGATATGAGTAAAGGGTAAAGGAAAGGTAAGTCATGTACGTTTAAACAACAGACAAATCTAAACTTTTTTTTTTGTTGGGACATTGGGGGGACAACACAAGAACTTTCATTAGGGGGCCAAAATAAAATTACAAGTCAAAATTACATAAACATTTTTTTAAGTTAACAATTATATATATATATATATATATATATATATATATTATATATATATATATATATATATATATATATATCTAAGGAAAAGTGAATATGTGGTTGTCATGTATGTAATATTAGGTATAGAACCATTAAAATTGATTTCATTTTAATTAAACAACACATTATATATATATATATATATATATATATATATATATATATATATATATATATATATATATATAGAGAGAGAGAGAGAGAGAGAGAGAGAGAGAGGGAGAGAGTTAGGTTATTTTATTTTTGCTACGTATTGTGTGCTTGTGTAAAGGATTCCGGGCCAATAATTTGTGGTAAATTAAGAAAGTGATTTTGTTTTTAAAATAAATAGAAAAATAATCAAATTAAAGGGGTTTCATTAAGTGACCGGTCAAGCAAAGGTAGAATGGTACATTGTGTCATCATTTAATTAGGTAACGGTGGATAAGTATGGAAGTGATCAACTGTAATCCCAAATATCTTGCATACTCACAAAATCTAAAACCAAATTCCTTCGGAGGTTGAAAAACATTCTGATTTCTTGTAATCAATATTCAAAATCGGAAGATCCTTCGAAGGTTTTTCATATAAATATCGACACTTAACCCTAGAAGACAGAGTCGACATTTGCGGGCTTCTGTGAACAGTATTCGATAAGAATGAAGAGTACACGATCCACTTCATTCAAGTCAAAGTTCAAGAACACATCAGAAACGACCTTGAATCTTAAAGATGGCGATGATGATTTAGTTGTCGAACCTGAAGGTAACAATTTCTTTGTGTTAGATAATGTTTATTGAGTTTGAAAATGTATTATAGTGTTTTAAGTTTATTTAAAATCAGTTTTGTGTGTATGATTTGTGGTTTGGAAAAAGAATGTTTCATTTTTTTTCGTAATATCTTAAGAATGGTTATTGTTCACAAAAGTATGAGTTGAAATTATCGTCCTTTTTGCCCAAATGTTCTATTCATATAAACTTAAAGGTTTTTGTTATTCTACTAGAATTATTTTTCTTGTTTTATTAGCAAAAATTGTAATGAAAAGTTCTGTAACTAAGTAGTTGATTAGCAGACTCGTTAATTAGCAAGGTGTATATATATATATATATATATATATATATATATATATATATATATATATATATATACACATTACATTCTAATGGAATCAAAGGATGTAGATGATTAATGATTTAAACTAAAACATTCAGAATTGATAGATATTGATTAAGTTGACATGTGTAAACTTCAAGAAGAATGGAATGTTGTATATGAGTGTGAGTATCCACATAGAGAGTGGATTATATGTCTTGAATTAAATTGCATGTGATTCTGGTCGAATTCTAATTTAAATGTATATGATTCTTGTAGAATTCTAATTTGTAGACTATTTTAGTAGAATACAAATATATCTATGAATTTAAGTATGTCAATATGCAATGGGTTATGTTTTAAATATAAATTTATGATGTGTTTATAGTTTATTTTATAATCTGTTAGAAATGCATATATTCTCATATATTTTTGTAATACGTTTTTTAATTTGTATTCTATTTGAATGGGAAATTTGTGTGTATGATGATTGTGTTATTGAAGTTAATTCTTATTATGTTAGAATATAAGGAATATCTTATATGTGTACTACTATTATATACTATTCTAGTAGAATATGAATATCTGTATGAATATAAGTTTTTAAATGTGCACTGGCTTATGTTTCAATCCTAAACATTAATTATTATGTTTTTCTAGTTTATTGTAGACTATTCTAGTAGAATACGAATATATATATATATATATATATATATATATATATATATATATATGAATATAAGTTATTGAAATAAATTGTTATTCTGTTAGAATATTAGGAATATCTTATATTTTAAAACATTAATATCTAATATCTTATACTAAACATTATATTATTTATTATGTGTTGTAGCTGAATAAGTATATGGAGAGGAAATTGCTATTCTAGTAGAATATGAATATATGTATGAATATAAGTTAGCGAAGTAAAATGTTATTCTATTAGAATATATAGAATATCTTATATCCTTAAACATTAATATCTATTGTCTTATGCTAAACATTATATTATTTATTGGGTGTTGTAGCAGAACAAGTACACGGACAAAAAGAACATGTGAAACGAGAAAGAAGGTCAAATAAAAAGTTTGATAAATCAATTGAACAACAAAAAAGTTCTAAACCTTTAAATGTACTACTTTTGAAAGAGAGATAAGGTCAAAGAGGAAATATGATAGAGTTCCAATCGTAAGAGAATTAAAGAATACGGGAATTGATGAGTTTGTCAAAGAGGAACAAGAAGATCATGTTAGAAAAACAAATAAGGAATATCCACCTGGTTTAAGATACCTTCCAACCAGAATGAAATGTGATAACATCACTGCAACTGTTATGGGGATGTCACCAGAACAAAAATAATCAGTCTTGAGAATGGGTTTTGGATCAATTCTGCAAGTGAATATTACAAGTTATCCGGGGCAACTAAGCTACTATCTTTTAGATATGTATGATTTCAATAGTAAAAGACTTGTCCTACAAAACTCTGTTATTGAGATAACATAACAGATAGTGCATGATATGATGAGTTTGCCAGTTGGTGGAAAAGACATCAATGAGTTGCCATTGTGTGATAAGGACAATCCAATTCTGGAAGAATGGAGGGGACAATATATTTTTGATAAGTTCAATGGTGGGGAGTATTTAAGAAGGATTTAGGCTACACAAAGGATAATTTGATGTTTAGGCTTATTTTTTTGACCCTTTTTGTTAACAACTTCATAGACTCAATGTTGATGGGAACAAATCAAATAAAAGTGGTAAGGACATTGGTGTTGGTAGAAGACTTTTCAAAGTTAAATTTGTGTAAATATATGCTTGATTGTTTGGGATCAAGGAAAAAATTATGGAAAATGGATGACAAATCAAGTTACTATAGTGGTCCTATTACACTCCTGATTGTAAGATTGAAATAGAGTTATATTAAAATATAAATTTGGTATTGATTTATTATTGACGTGTTGATTAAGTTTTTTTTTTGTTAGATGGTGTATGTTTATAACATGAAGTATTCTATAAAGATAGATAAAAGGCTTCCTTTTATTGGGCATATTAATGGTGCTAAATTATTAGAGATTCAACAATTGGAAATCAGTTTGGGAGGGTTCGGGAGGCAATTTCGGGATGAGCATGATGATGATATGGTGGATGAGTCACTTTTTATATTTTTAGAATATAAATTTAAATGTATTTAGATTGATTTTATATATAATGTTTGTCACAGGGATAAGATTTGGGACATTGGAACACGTCATTTGCTGCACCAGGGTTTTGCATATCAATTCAATCATGGGATGTTTTTTCATTCTAGAGTAATTGTAACATCCCGGAATCTCAAGTATTGTTGAAATTATATTTATGGGGTGTTTTAAGGGGGGACTCGGCGAGTTGGAGCCAGACTCGCCGAGTAGGATCGCAGACCTGGTCGCGGGTTCGCGACTGGACTCGACGAGTCAGATAGGGACTCGGTGAGTCTGCGCTGTTTAGCGAAAACCCTAGACGTTTAGGGTTGGGACGTATAAAGGGGGTTTATTGGCCGTCATTGTTCGTTTTAGCCTTCTGGGAGGAACCCTAAACCGATTGTGTGCATCTGGAGCAAAGCTAAGGGCCATTGGTGATTTTGAAGGAGTTGTTGTGCAAAGAAGAGAAGGGCTTGGCTAAAGGAACAGCAAGGGGGTCACATTCTGAGGATTGGGGACACAGAGAGCACATTATCCAGGTAAGAATTCGTGTATACTCTGCTATGGTGATGTATTTAGAGGATTAGGGTTTATGGAACCCTTTTATGGATAGATTGAATGTTACCCTTGTTCCCCAAACGGTTGTAATCCTGTATTAGGACCCTTGGAGGTCCAGATTATCCCATGTCTGTGCATTTCGGGAATTGGTGAAGGTTTTGGATTGAAATCCTTATGCCTTAGGTCAACATGTAAATTATAAGTTTTGGGGTGTATCATGAGCACCTAAATGAAGACCTTATGTAATGGACCAGTCGAGGAAGGCCAGACCTATGAATGGTCGGAGCAGTTATGACCTTAGGAAGCAGTTTGAGCGGCTACATGCATGGACTCGCCGAGTCAGATGAGCAGACTCGGCGAGTAGCTTGAAGAATAACTGGGACTCGTCGGGTTGTTCCTCAGACTCGGCGAGTGGAGTCGGGGTGGCCCCGCGATTCTTCCAGGAGTAACTCGTCGGGTCAAGGAGGATACTCGACGAGTAGAAGGGAAAACTTAGAGGATTGGAGGACGACTAGACTCGCCGAGTCGCCAGAGTACTCGTCGAGTCCGGTCGAGTTGACCGTGGACCGTTGACCAGAGTTGACCCATGTGTGATTTCTTAGGGTCAGTTAACGTGGAAGATAAAAGTATTAATAAGAGATATATGATGTTATAGGGAGCTTGTAGCTCGGCGGATCAAGTACGAGGGATTTCAGGAGTTGCTAACTTTCAGTATCCGCGAGGTGAGTCTTCTCACTATACTGTACCCGGAAGGGTTTGACTGTGTGACCGGAAGGTCGGATATGATATGTGTTATACGTGCTATAAATGGTAAGATAATTGCTATGCGTGCTATGTATGTTTATATGGGCCGGAAGGCAATATGTTATGTGACCGGAAGGTCGGATATGAAATATGATATATGTGCTATATGTGGTAAGTTAAGTGTATTATGTGCTGTGCATGTTTATGGGCCGGAAGGCAATACGTTATGGGCCGGAAGGCAATGTGCTATGGGCCGGAAGGCAATACGTTATGGGCCGGAAGGCGTTTATCTCATGGGCCGGAAGGCGTTGTGTAGTGGACCGGAAGGTCAGGGCCTGGAAAGGCGTATGTGCGTAAGTTGTATATTGGGGAACTCACTAAGCTTCGTGCTTACAGTGTTTCGTGTTATGTTGTTTTCAGGTTCTTTCAGTAACACAGGACGGCACCGGCTCGATTGTACACACCAAAGAAAGAGTTATGTTTTGGAGGATCCTGGTTTTCTATTCAAGTGAAAATGAACTATGTTTTGTAATTCAATTATGAATGAGATTTTAAACAGGTGTTTTAATATTAAAATGATTATTTTAAATGAAAATTTTGTCTTGAAATTTACGGTGTTACAAATTGGTATCAGAGCCTTGGTTTGAGGGATTCGGATGCGCCTTCGGGTAAATCTGGACTCAAACTGAGGAAGTAAGAGAAAGTTTTTAAATAAATAGTTTCCTAAAAGTGAATAAGAGTTCAAAGAGAAAGAAAGAAAGAGTAGTGTGTACAATCAGCCAGAGCCCGAACGGTGATTTCCCAAAATACCCTTATTTTTGTGTTATGAGATATGTATGATGCACTTTATGAGATATTATTGCATGCTAGAGACAGGCTAGGTATTTCATATGTTAGGACTAGAGTGGCCTGATTTGTGATGCCTTAGCCTAGGGTTTGTTGTTATATGTGCGTTATGCTTTTGAGTATGTGATGAGTGAGAGTATCCAGTTAGAACGCACGAGGGGTAGAGTTACAGAGTTCAGGGGTATTTCCGAGGATGAGCCGAGAAGGTGGAGTTATCACAGATAAGGAGTCCTATGTATTCTTCGATGCTCGAATGTTACCCTTGTTCCCCAAACGGTTGTAATCCTGTATTAGGACCCTTGGAGGTCCAGATTATCCCATGTGTGTGCATTTCGGGAATTGGTGAAGGTTTTGGATTGAAATCCTTATGCCTTAGGTCAACATGTAAATTATAAGTTTTGGGGTGTATCATGAGCACCTAAATGAAGACCTTATGTAATGGACCAGTCGAGGAAGGCCGGACCTATGAATGGTCGGAGCAGTTATGACCTTAGGAAGCAGTTTGAGCGGCAGCATGGCATGGACTCGCCGAGTCAGATGAGCAGACTCGACGAGTAGCTTGAAGAATAACTGGGACTCGTCGGGTTGTTCCTCAGACTCGGCGAGTGGAGTCGGGGTGGCCCCGCGATTCTTCCAGGAGTAACTCGTCGGGTCAAGGAGGATACTCGACGAGTAGAAGGGAAAACTTAGAGGATTGGAGGACGACTAGACTCGCCGAGTCGCCAGAGTACTCGTCGAGTCTGGTCGAGTTGACCGTGGACCGTTGACCAGAGTTGACCCATGTGTGATTTCTTAGGGTCAGTTAACGTGGAAGATAAAAGTATTAATAAGAGATATATGATGTTATAGGGAGCTTGTAGCTCGGCGGATCAAGTACGAGGGATTTCAGGAGTTGCTAACTTTCAGTATCCGCGAGGTGAGTCTTCTCACTATACTGTACCCGGAAGGGTTTGACTGTGTGACCGGAAGGTCGGATATGATATGTGTTATACGTGCTATAAATGGTAAGATAATTGCTATGCATGCTATGTATGTTTATATGGGCCGGAAGGCAATATGTTATGTGACCGGAAGGTCGGATATGAAATATGATATATGTGCTATATGTGGTAAGTTAAGTGTATTATGTGCTGTGCATGTTTATGGGCCGGAAGGCAATACGTTATGGGCCGGAAGGCAATGTGCTATGGGCCGGAAGGCAATACGTTATGGGCCGGAAGGCGTTTATCTCATGGGCCGGAAGGCGTTGTGTAGTGGACCGGAAGGTCAGGGCCTGGAAAGGCGTATGTGCGTAAGTTGTATATTGGGGAACTCACTAAGCTTCGTGCTTACAGTGTTTCGTGTTATGTTGTTTTCAGGTTCTTTCAGTAACACAGGACGGCACCGGCTCGATTGTACACACCAAAGAAAGAGTTATGTTTTGGAGGATCCTGGTTTTCTATTCAAGTGAAAATGAACTATGTTTTGTAATTCAATTATGAATGAGATTTTAAACAGGTGTTTTAATATTAAAATGATTATTTTAAACGAAAATTTTGTCTTGAAATTTACGGTGTTACAAATTGGTATCAGAGTCTTGGTTTGAGGGATTCGGATGCGCCTTCGGGTAAATCTGGACTCAAACTGAGGAAGTAAGAGAAAGTTTTCAAATAAATAGTTTTCTAAAAGTGAATAAGAGTTCAAAGAGAAAGCAAGAAAGAGTAGTGTGTACAATCAGCCAGAGCCCGAATGGTGATTTCCCAAAATACCCTTATTTTTGTGTTATGAGATATGTATGATGCACTTTATGAGATATTATTGCATGCTAGAGACAGGCTAGGTATTTCATATGTTAGGACTAGAGTGGCCTGATTTGTGATGCCTTAGCCTAGGGTTTGTTGTTATATGTGCGTTATGCTTTTGAGTATGTGATGAGTGAGAGTATCCAGTTAGAACGCACGAGGTGTAGAGTTACAGAGTTCAGGGGTATTTCCGAGGATGAGCCGAGAAGGTGGAGTTATCACAGATAAGGAGTCCTATGTATTCTTCGATGCT